GTTGCATTGCTGCGGGCGCCCCCTTCTGGATTGGGGTGAATTGCCTGTATTCGTTGTAAGGCCTCATGCGCCGAACCGAGATGTCCATACCGTGACGGTTCAGTACGAATACATGTATCCAGTGTTGGGGGTAACACATTACAAGTAACGCTAGTTATGTAATCAGATTACTTTTTTCAAGTAACTAGTAAAGTAACGCATTACTTTCCATAAAAAGTAACTAAGTAACGTAATTAGTTACTTTTTTATGGAGTAACGCAATATTGTAATGCATTACTTTTAAAAGTAACTTTCCCCAACACTGCATGTACCGTTCCACCCCTACATATAAATGTTAAAATTGATAGCTCTCAATTATAGCTACTGCAATGTTAAATGGTTAAATATTAGGAAAAAAAAAATATTTCCTAGGGTCATCAGTAGTATTGATATTAGTGATACTCACCTTCAGACATAAAAAAAGATGCCACTAAACAAATATTAAAAAATATACTGTCTTTATGTTGTTTCTACATTAATTTAAAGATTGAATGTGAAATTATTGCAATATAAAATTATTTTTAAAAAATTTAATGCTAGGTGGGATTAATTGCTATTAATCACGATTAATTTCAGAAAAAATGTGTGATTAATTAGTTTATTTTTTAATAGATTGACAGCACTAAAAATACCATAACTTGATCTTCTGGTGAAACAACAGACTTCTCTCTGGTGACATACACCAGATTTCCCTAATCATTTAGTCGGCTTAAACCACGGTCCCTTTCTTACAGTCAGCTGCAATTTTGCATTTAGATCCACCTCTATCCAATCAGCAACTGATGGATAGAACCAAGTCCCCACGCTACACAATACAGAAATAAAGCTCTGCTGATACATCTGGTACATCTCAACTTAAAGCTAATTATTCCATTAGGAGGTCAGTTCAGTGCACTGGAATCAAGGTGGGTGTATAGTTAAACCCATTAGCTTGGTCATATCATGGCTCATACGTGTTTCATTCCCTTGCCACTGAATTAACACTAGAATACGTGTTTTTCATTATATATTGAATGCTTCTGAAATGTAGGAACTGCATATTATGACTTGTTAGCAGTCAGACATCCTATGCCCTGGGATATCAGGTTTGACAATTGGATTGTGCCTATTGAGTCCCCCAAGTACAACACAATGTCACACAGCTTGAAGTGAGATTACAGTCATGAGGTGTAAAAAAAAAACCTATTACTTTTTAAACTTCCATTTAAAAGAACCAGAAAAACATGCATCACAATTTTATTATTTATTCAAAAGACTGTTCACTTTGAGAGACATTATCAGATCATTGTAATTTATTTGAGAAAATGAATGGATGAATACATAATACAGCCCAGAGATCACACAGTCCCGAATAGTCTATCCACATTTGAATTGTTGGATTTAATTTGCACATGTCAAAAATCATATCTGTTGATCATTTCTGTTGATATTGTAATAGTAATTGCTGTATTAATTTTGATTAATTTAATTTATGTTAAAATACTTATTTGATGTGGCAACAGCATTCTGCATTCTTTTTGTAGACTACAACCCATTTGCTGTTTTGTACATCAGTAAATAAAAACTAAATGTTGAACCTAACATTGCAAAATTTAGAAGCATTGAAAACAAAACTGTTCAAAATATGAATGAGTTATGCACAGAAATTGAGCAAAGCATCAATATTACAATGCACCATAACATTATAATCACTGAAGCTGAAGACTGAAGACTACATACATAATGCATTGTTACTTGCTGTTATTTGTGTACATTGCATAGGTGTTTCACAACAATACAGTACAATGCAGTGCCTGTGCAGCATAGCTTTCTTTTAAGGCCTTTGAACTGTAGTTTACCGTAGGCTATGTGAAGCTTGTGAGGTTTCACTTGCTTCATGCAGTTGGTAGCATTGAGTCAAACTTGTCTTTCCTTTTGAATTTGAAATTTGACAGTATCTGTGTAGGGTCAAAAATGATCAGAGACTTCTGCTTTCCTGTCCCAAACCTATCTTCAGAAACAAAAGGGCCATTTGATATTCCTGAAGACACAAGAGGTGCTGATTGTGATCAAGGTCTGTAGGCCAACGTGTGTATACATTAAGGGGGTCTGCTAATTGTCACACCGTTTGCACCCTGGGTGAAGCTGTAATCTGCTGATTGGTCAGTTTGAATGTCTCAGATTTGGTTTTTAGTCACATGGTCAAGGAAGGGATAAAAGAGGATTGTAACTGTTGCTCTTTCTCTTTTCTTTGCTGTCTTTTTTCTTGGCTGGGGCCCTTTTCTTGGGGCTCTGCTCTCTCTCCCTCTATCTTTCTCTCTGTCTCTCTCTATCTGCAGATTTGAAATACAATAGTTATTATTTTTTTGTGGATGACAATCTCTTGTGCCGATTGATCTATAAAACTTGTATATGAGCCACTTTCTATTTCTCTATTATAAACCTATATTGACTGTTTGTTTTTATGTTAGAGCTTAAATGAAATGTATATCTTATATTGTAATTTTTATGTAGTTGTACATTTGAAATCAGGCATCAAAATGATACACAATAGAATAAATATATAAAAATATTTACAAAATATGGATTTTGATTTGGTACTTTTGTGCTGTTTCAGTTTAAAAGACATAATTTCAGTCAGTACCTATGTTAAAAAAGAAAATATTGGCTGATGCTCATTGATATGCTTACCAATATAGCTCATTGATATTACCAATACAATATAGTGCATCTTTTGTGATAATCTGACTTTCTCTTTGCAGGACTACCTTGCTCACATTATAGACTCAGGAGATCTTCCCATAAAGCCAGAACAGGTGTGTGCTCTGTTTGGAAACATTGAGGACATCTATGAGTTTAACAGGTAAGAAATCATTAATTATTAGCTTGTTTTTACAGCCCAACGAAACCGAAACCAACACCAGTTATTTATTGATGTATGTACAGACACGAATGCATAGGTTTTTTATACAAAGAAGAATCTAAATTTTAAGACATTATGATGTTATTTTAATTTCTTATTTAATAACAATGGTGACTAAAGGCCCGTTTACACCAATAATGATAGCTATAATGATAATTTTATTAGAGCCCACACCAGAGGATGAAAACATTCTTTTTACTGTTTTTTCAGTTGTCACCCAAATGCAATAAATAAAAGTAAATGACAGGATATGAAAAGAATGATGACTAGCTGTTCATGACATGTATTTATTGATGAATGAAGTCCACACAAGATGTTTATGTCTTTGGTCTACTAAAAGATGGACTCATCAACTCCCTAATCTGGGTGGGTGGAATGACAGAAATCTTGTATCACAGTAAAAGCAATTTTTCACAGTAACAGTGAAAAATTGAAAAATACAGCATTTTGTGAGGTTTTACTGTTTTTATTTGAATCATTACAAAAACAGGTCTTGGTAAGAGTTGAAAAGTCTGGGGAAACAAATTGTGATTTCACTTATAAATACATTTTTTCAATTTTTCTTTTTTTAGGGCCCAAGCCACTAGGGGGCGAAGAGCCCCATTGTTTTCCTTAGGATTATTCTTATTAGGGCTCAAGCCACAAGGGGCGCAGGGCCTTATTGTTCCCCAAAGGATTATTATTAGGGTCCGAGCACAGATGGTGCTTTGTTTATTATTATATAATATTTGTTTATTCAAATAAAGCTTTGAAAAAGTTTCATAAAATGGTAAACCACACATTTCAGCCTTTAAATAAAGAAAAGGGTTGTCAAAATGATAATTGATTAATAAATGTTAATACATTTGAATCCACATAAGCTTGTTTTTCATCAACTGGTTAAAATTTACAGCCGGGCATGTAAATTTGGTCAATTTTTTGGCCAGACAAAAACTGCACACAGGCTGAATGTAAATATAACTCTCTGTAAATCCACTCTCTGACATTAGGTGGTGCTTATGGAACAGCTGAATTAGAGCTGTTTCCCGTAACCTCCGTGGACAAAGCATTGCGATAAGAACACTTCTTTATTAGGTATTAGGTGGGGGCAGTCGTGGCCTAATGGTTAGAGAGTTGGAATTGTAACCCAAAGGTTGCGGGTTCAAGTCTGCGAACCCGCAGAATAACCAGCGCTCTCTTCCACCCTCAAAACCGGGGTCAGACTGATGTAAGACCCTTGAGCAAGGCACCGAACCCTCAACTGTTCCCCGGGCGCCACAGCAATATGGCTGCCCACTGCCCACCGTGTGTGTTCACGGTGTGTGTGTGTGTGTTCACTACTGTCCTGTGTGTGTGCACTTGGATGGGTTAAATGCAGAGCACAAATTCCAAGTATGGGTCACCATACTTGGCCACACGTCACTTCACTTTCACTTTCATTACACTTTTCTGAAGACAGTTAGAACCTTCAGAGGTACATTCATATAATTAATTAATTCATATATTCATATGTATAATTCCCTTAGCACTCTTTTAAAACCTCCCAGCTTTCTGCCATGTTTTCACACAAAACAAAACTACTCTGCGTGCTGTGCGCATGTGATACTGTTACTTAAAAGTTTGCTTTATGCTGGACATTTATATAGGTATTTATATATCCTGAGTTGTTCAAATCGCGGTAATTGAATATGGTTTTAATTATAAATAAAATATGAAACGGTAATACTAACTGTTGGGAATTTTATCATGATTTATCGTCAAACTGGTAATCGTTTCATCCCTATTATTGTTATTAGGGCCCGAGCACTACAGTGCGAGGACCCTCTTGGAATTGCTCTGTTTATTCTCCTTCTTCTCCAAAATTAATCGCATTTTTGAGGGCATAAACAATGCTAAAACTCACAAACTTTGTACACGCATCAGAACTGGAAAAAATTTAAATCTGATATGGGTTTTAGAATTGGGCGTGGCAAAATGGCTCGATAGCGCTACCTATAAAATTTCAACGAAGCGCCCCTCCTGCTATATTTCACATGTGTACGAAATTTGGTACATGTATGTAATGTTATAATACCTACAAAAAAGTCTCTTGGAGCCAAATCCTAAACGCAACAGGAAGTCAGTCATTTTGAATTTCCTCTATGGTTTTTGTGCAGTTTTTGCCATTTTCAGGCCTCATATTTTAACGAACTCCTCCTAGAGTTTTAATCAAATCATCTTCAAATTTGGTGAGTGTAATCATAAGGCCTTTGCAATGCTAAATTGTGAAGATCTTGAGTTTTCGTATAAGGACTCGTCCGTTTTCCTTTTTTTTTTTCTTTTTTTTTTTTTTTTTTTTTACTATCCAGGGGTTTTTGGGGCCCTTAATATGCTCAAAATCTCTTGAAAATTGGCACACACGTTGGAATCTGTGGTCATTAGGACGGACCTGGGCGCCACAGGATTACAGGGGCTCTACAGCGTATCTTGATGCATATCTCATGCATACTTGCACGTATACATATGAAACTCGTGACACATATAGATCTCACTGAGCCAGACAACTTTCTCAATGCATGTCATAGGCTCCGCACAACAGGAAGTCAGCTATTTAGGGTTTTCTGAAAAGCTCATGCATCAAACTTTTTAATACTCCTCCTAGGTTTTTCATCCGGAGAAAAAATTGATGATGAAAAATGAGAAACAGGAAGTGTATTAGAACTTCCACATACATTGTCTGATTTTGATCAAACTTCAGCAGTTTGTTCATTGTATGAGGCTGATCACATAGATGTGGCTATTATGACTAACAATTACAGCGCCACCAACTGACAGCAGGAAGTGTCATTTTCAAAATACTTTTGAAATCACCCTCTTATTTTTACCCGATTTGCTTCAAACGTCATCAGAATATTGTCAAAACATAGCAGATGAGAAACTGTAAAGGGATTATTGATACATGTCGAACTTTAATAGTTTTTTTCTTTTGAGGCACTTAACATGCTTAGAATTACATGAAACTCGACACACATCACTGGCAAAAGCTCAGAAATGGGCGTGGAGGAGGCACTCTACAGCACCACCTTTTAACTAAAGTG